TTATAAAAAAAAAAAAAAAAAAAAAAGGGCCCTGAATCGACCCTACCATTAGGTAGGGGGTTATGGGGACCCATTCAAAAAAATGTAACCTTAATATTTCAAACTATCAACGACCATTTTGAATTTTTCAATAAGTATGGAAACCCAAGTAATTAACCAAATCAGCTGTCTTTCTAAATGATAGAACAAAAACATTAAGAAAATTCACATAGGATAATAACTTTTTATCCTCTTTTAAGTTTCTTATTTGAGCAGGAATAAAAATAGTAATAACAGAAGCAGATATTTAAGACAATAAATACCTACCGACGAACACTTGATTCTTCTGTTTCAAAGAGCATCCTAAATCGCATGCCAACAGAAACTCGTGTATGATACACAGCTTTAACATATTTGGCCAATGGAATGACAAATTCAGATGGGCTTGCCCTATTCAAAAAACGTAAGTTCAGTGTGATTTATAAGGTAATAATTCTCACCATTTACAATAAAGTTACAAACCTAGGATTGTAGAATATAGTAAAGCGGCTGTTTGTGGCAGCTGCATGAGCTGCAGCAGCAAGAAGGCCAATGTGCATGCTATCACTTGACAGAACTGATGATGGCATGATAGTCTGTGGACGATTCGCTCGCCGTATGCCCAGGAGTAATTGATTTTTTTCATTCCTGATAAAAGGAACAGGAAGAATGGTTACAATAATATCTTATAGTTCCTTTTAACATATTTCAATTATGCACCTATGGCCTATATATATGTGCAATTACTGATGATATTGCTATATGAGCAGGCTAATAACATAAAACATATTTATCAGGTCAGAAAGCTCCCACAGATATTGATTTAAAATAATGGAGAACTAATAGAAATATAAAATGACTTCTAGTCTACGCCATCTAATAATTTCCTTTCAGTTTAAAATATATAACTAAAACTGTGTACACACAGATGGAAAGAAAGAAAAGGAGCTAATTCTCCAATAGGTCAAGTCATGGAAATGTCAGAATTATATGTACCAGATGAAAAGGACTGAATCACCAGCAACAAGCCTCTTAGCACTGACAAAGACACTCCACCCTGTAGTAAGAAGATGCCTTTTGGGCTGACCTGAAAGTGAAAACATTTTAATAATGTTCATGACATCAAAACATTTCTTGGTTTCACTACAGACAATTTGTCAAACTTGATATGTAGAAGGATCTTCAGGAGGAGAGGGAGAACCAAAGAAGATAAGATGTATATGATTATGGACTATACACTCAACCTTTATGATGATCCTTAACACAGCTTTCATACTGTTCGTGCAAAACAAAAAATTACATTGACCAAAGTTGACTAAATTTTAAAAATTACAACAATAATGTTATTTTAAATGTAGTAATGCTAAGTTTAAAACAATAAACAAATTTGACCAAACAAAGTAAGCAAAGCAGACAACAAAATAAGGATTAAATAAGTAATACACAAGTAGACATAGTACACTATGGCCATATTATATGCAATTAAATTACTCCTTATAAACCTATGTCCTGCTTCAAATGCTACTCCAATTGTAAAGTTTTCCATAATAAAATGGAAGATCAAAGATTTGAGTATATAGAATATACAAGTACATCGGAGGTGTGTTTCTTTACCAGTAATTAAGGGCAACAGCATAAACATAAAGAAGCAGGCTTGCACAAGGACCACAAATAATTTTATACCAGAAACTTCCAAAAAAAAAAAGTAACCTCGAAATATATGTCTGAATTTCCATTCATTATCATGAAGATCTCTGGCAATCAGTTCTTGAGCAGGAGGCTGCAGTGAATAATCCTGAGAAACAAATTAAAGAAACATATCAGTCAGATCAGGAGCTGACAAACTAATTACTGTGAATCAAATAAAACAGACAACATCACTAAGTCAATAAGACTTACAAGAGGAGGGAAGACTTTTTCAGCTGCTCTTCGAGGAACAGAAAATCCTCCATGAGTGCTGGTATCACTTGCAGTTAATGTTTTGCAGAAATAGTTGGTTGGTTGCTTGCTGGGAGTACCCAATTCTGCAGGCAGCAGATACACCTCCTTTTGCTCTTGCTACAAAATTAATAATGTCAGGATATGCTTTAAAAAAATTATATAAAAAAAAAAGAAGAAGACAAAAAGAACAAGGTAGCAAATAAGAGGAAAGTACTGGACTTAGAGGTTGCAGAGTCATCTGAGCATATACTTCATCTGTTTCAGCATCTGCCTGCAAGGTGCATGCTTAAAAGGTTCAGAGTGCATGCCCATAACACGTTTTCTAAAGTATAATTATTCAGAAGCTCTGAACTATTAATTTTATTCTTACATGCATTGTCACATTGTGAAGCTGACAGATAAGTTGTGGTGGCAAGTTAGGGTAATTAGGAATATGTGCATCTACTTCCCTGTTAGTTGAAGCAGCAACCTGTAAAATCAAAATCTACATTTGTCAAATAATTGTAGAAATAAATATAAATGAAATATTGGAACAGAAAACAGTTGTTTGGAAATTTCAAATGCTCAGTAATTTGCAGAAGACGGCCATTTGGTTTGAGACCGCTCCCCTGCCCCAGGAAAAAAAAACTAAATTTTTATCATAATGATGCACACCAAAGAGTTCTCTATCTGTCAGTCACTTGTTTTAGCATAGTAATTATAAAAGCTATTTATACCGCAATAATCAGACTGACCAATGTTCAGACTATTCTAGAACTGAAACCTTAACGTCAATTTCTGTTAAAATTGAACAAAATACTGCTCATTTCAAGCATAAAGTAATATCATATCTGTTACTAGGGGCTTCATTTATGAGCTAGAGTGGTAAAAACAACAAAACAAAAGAAATCGTTAGATCAAAAGTTTAATGAGCATGTTTCATTTTTTCTTCACTAAATTAGTCCATCCTCCGTCCCTCCTGGCATAGCAACTTAACACTAATCCATGAAGCCTGTAAACAAGTAACTTACAGCTCTTCGTACTATCACAATACTGCTGACAAATTGTGAATCTCAGTCCTATCTGGTCAAATACCAAATCATCTTATCATAAACTGAGCTTGCACTGGCACAAGCATAACTGATTTCACCAAACATACAAGAAACAATAAGTTGAAGTCCACTCCACTGACTTCAGGAGACAGATAAAAATATTGTAACTGACCTGCTCACCAAGATCGTATGGATATACTAAATGAGGTTCTAATTTTCTATTTGACCTTAAGTGCTTTTCATGAGCATAGAAAATTCACCAAATATCCATGAAATGTGAAAATTTCAAGTATAATGCTATAAATCCTACTTATAGAATATAGATACAAGCAACATTACTGACCTGCTCACTGTGACCTTGAGGAAAGTAGACTACACGACTTCCAACTGGAGGCAGAGAAACGAGAGGGCCAGCACAAGCGTGCCATAGTTCAGAATTCAAACATTTTTTCTCCCCTATACAATCACCAGTTAATAATATGAATACACATGAAGTAAATTAAGGAAAACAAGTCAAAAGGACACCATAGTCCACACCACAAGTGGCATATCAGTGATAAACACGTTAAATCCACTGCATACTTCATCAATTAAAACAACATACCACGATCCAAACTCCAATCACTCAGAGGCAAACAGAATAACCATACATAAATAGTAACACAACACAACACAACCTAGTCACCTCAAACTTAAAATCATAAACTGCACACACCACCGACGCATGAGAAGCTGAAACAAATCAGACAAGACGATAAGAAGTTGACCTTGACATGTACCAAAAACAAACAAAACATGTTCAACCTCACCTCATGCCATATAATAATGACAAACTAGCAAGTACCACTAGTGCACCCCTATTCCTAATTCCCTGCCTCCAAACCCACGCAAAGACAAAAAGAACCACCAACACAAAAAAACACAAGAAACAAAAGCAAAGACAAGACACAAGAAAAATTCAAAAAAAAAAAGTGGAAAGAACGAAAGAAGCTAAGCTAAACTAAGCTACCTTCTTCTTCAGGCGGTTGATTAAATCCAGAAGAAGAGAGCTTCATGCTTGGAGCTATAACACGCGAAGTTCCAAACTAGTGAAAACCGAACCCCAAGTTGAAAAATAAAACCATTATTACTACTATTGTTATTATTATTATTATTATAATTATATTCTCAGATTTTCCATGTCGCTGGAATCAGAAACGAAACGATCCTATTTCAGAGCCCGCCCCACCCCCCACCCACCCGAACCTGAGAACATCATCCGAAGCCACTTCCAATGCAACACCCGAACCTCCTCGTTCTCATACCACGCCCAAATCCAAGCAACCAACCCTAAGTACGAACCCTAGCTTCCCAGATCTCAGCGAAACGAAGCTGAACAGTGGAATTAGAAGGGTTGGGGAAGAGAGGGGAGTGAAGTGAGAGTGACATTCATGTGGATGGTGGTGGATTTCAGTAGAAGCAGAGAATGCGATGTGAGAGAGAGAGAGAGAAATTGAAAGAGAAAGAGAAGGGTTTGTGTTACTACTCAACAACAATAATGCACAGTGACTGGTAATAATTGAACCGTGGCATGGTAATGGTATGTATATGGTGTGGTATACGAAACGGTAACGAAGACCAAAAATACGGAACGTTTCTACGCTCCGTAGATACTCATTCCATACTAACGCAGATTTGTTTTCTGTGGTAACACCAAAGACTTGCCGAGTTTGGTCTCTT